AGAGGTGAAGCAAACTTAATTAAAAGCAGTAACCAGAAATTGCGCTTGATCCAGTTGAAATTATAATGAAAGTGGATATTTGTTTTGTAATCTCACTGTTACTGCTCTGTTTTCCTTATAAAAGTTTGGTGTTGTGAGATGAGATTCAGAAACTGTTGCACAGAATGTGTAGTAGAGGAAATCTGAAAGGAAATACATGGACGCCCTCCAATATACTTCCTGCACTGAATAGCTTCAAATATCAGCTAGCTTGTGAGGATAATCTACACAGGCTTTCATGCCAAAATGATTTAGGACTTGGTGAAGAGAGGGGGAAAAAAAGAGACATTATGGGGAGTTGTAGTTAAGGAGTTTCCAAGCTCTTGGTTTAAATAAACCCACTGTATGTTTGCATACACACTGGAAAGTTTTCTGAATAAGAAGTTAATAAAGTATATTTCTACAATGGAGTTTCTTTGTAAAAAGTGGGTGTCTAGAGAAGAGCTTCAGCAGCATTAGTTAGTGCAGTGCAGTGGTGAGTTTCACCTCACTGTTGTATTCCAGGGCACTTTAGGATATAAAGACCAGCACACAAGTAATGACAGAGGGTATTTATCTTTTTATTTGTATATTTATTTTATTTGCCTGCAGCAGCAAAAAGGATGCCTTATCTGAAGGATTTAAACTTATTACTAGGGTATGTATAATTTATATGCAGACCCAAATAAAGTTATTTTTAGTAACTTTTCTGAAGTATTAAGGGGAAAAATACAAACAAACGAAAACACAGCCAAAGAAATAAAAGAACCCAAGAAGGTAGATGTCTAGCTTAAGGATGTTCAAACAAGAACATAGGTCAGTACTAGCAAGAGAGCATAGAACAGAAATGCTGTAGATGCGCTCTCAGTACCCGTGCACGTTGCAGGCTGGTAAAAGCCATGGCAGGAGCCCTCGTTCCCCATGGCCCTACGTGCTGGGGTGCATTGGGGGTGCTGGCCTCAAACCTTGCTGCTTGGTCTGCCCGGGGGCACGCGGGGATCGAGGAGGCTGCCCGACGACCCCTTCATCCAGGCGGAGGCCGCGTGTAGCACGGAGAGCATTGCCCGCCGTGGAGCGTGTCCACAGCCAGATAATACTCAGGGTGTGAGTGAATGCAAGCTTTCTGAGGTGCCGAATACGTGAGAGGCATTCTTGGCAGTTACTTTGGAAAGCTGGTTCCTACTTCAGTGCTCAGAACTGGTTTCAGAGGTGACCCAACTGTGGAAACGGTGCACGTGAGAGTGTCTGGATTCAGATACCTTTTCATGTGCAGCCTTCAGGACTTACTGCCACGCGGCCGTACGGTCGCCTTCAGCGTGTCCCGCTTGTAGGCTAGCCCAGTTTGCAAAGCAGGACCCTGGAAGCGTGCGGTCCTTCTTTTGCGAGCGGATTGCTTCCTGTTGCACAGGACTCGGGGCACGTGCGCTGGCTGCAGCGGGGATTTTGTGATGCATCGGCCTCCTCCCAGAACGGAGCTTGGCCCTGCTTCGAGGCGGCCACTGTTGGCCTTTCATTTACAGGAAAGGTGCAGGTAGATGGTAAAGGCTTCTGGTTTTAATTTCTTTCCTCCCTCTATTTTCACAATAGAGGAGATTAAGGGTTTGAACAGGAAAGGGTTTGGTAATTCAGTGTGTGAAAGTAAGGGCTGATTTACCCCGGTGATAATGGGAATCTCGCAATCAAGTACCTATGGCAGAAGATAATTTCATTATCTCCTCTGAGGTATTTGATTTCTATAGATCTCTTGAACTCTTATTATGAACTTTAATGTCCACTAAAGTGGACTTTAGGAGTTACTGTTACAATTGTGCACTTTGTATTAATACGTGGACAACAGCTCCCAATTATGATGTATTTCTAATGATCTTGGTTGCAGGTTTCAGGAAAAGGTTTTAAAGGCTGGAGACTGGAATGCTCTAAAGGCTTAAGTTAGAAACCAAATTAAAAAGGGAGGTCATGGTTAGCTTACTAGCTAACCATGGAAACATTGATTTCCTATTCTGCTATACAAGCCTTGTACAATTCTGGATTTGCCTCAATTCCTATCCTATGCCGTAGGAAAAAACATGTCCTTAGCATCAGTGGTTTGAAGAGGAAGTAAATAAAGATTCGAAGCATACCAGTGGTAGTTGTAATAGCTCATAAAATTATGTAGAGTAATTATGCTAGGTAATCTTTTTCTTCCTAATCTCACAACAAAAATAAAACAAAAAATGACAGGGCTATGAATGGGCTTTTTAAAATTAATTTGTAGAATAGACTCGATAATGCTGAGTAGCTTTATAATTACTCAATATAGAAGATGTTGTTATATAGTATGTGTGTTAGCATGCTCCCTTAAACCCCGCAGTAGCTCTATATGAAGAAATGAGTAGAGCAAACTGTCCAGTTCTGGTCTGGCAACCAGACAAAATAGATGAAAAGTTTGACACCTCCCACCACTGCCCTAGAGTGTGCAGGAAGTTTAATAAAACAAATCAAAATGCAGAACCAGAGGAAAGATGATCATTAGAGGATATACACGTTTGTTTTTTTTATTATTATTATTTTTTCCCATCTGATGCAGGCAGCAGAATAAGAGATATAGCATACATTTGTGAAGTCAGGATTATGTTTTGATTCTTACCAAGACCTGTATGTATTTTATGTATCGCGGGTTGTTTTCTTAAGCAAATGTGTTGAAAAATTTTGATGTGTTATCAAAAAGAAAATGTGAATGACAGAATTAATGAGCTATCAGAGTTAATTAGGTATCTAATAAATGTTGCAAGTTATCAGTTTAAGTTTCTAGATGCGTGAAACAATAGAAAGAATTTTTAAAAGATGACAATATGTCACTTTGTCCCTGACTGAATTCCTAACAACCCATTTGTTGCGTATCTGAAATGTATTATGAGGAAATTAGAGACATTGCCAAAAGGCCAAAATAGAGATCTGAACATAACTGAAAACTAGAAAGTATCAAGACCTTTAAGAGGTCATGACATTATATGCTCATAGGAAAAAGACTAAGGTAATCAGCCAAGGGAACAACGTCTTGCTTTTCTTCTTTTGACGGTACTGAAGTATTTTGGTAATGTAAGAGAAAGATTTATAAAAGAGAAAAGATAAGTTGTAAAGGTATTAAAATATTTGAATATGGTGTATTCATCTTGTGAATATATAATCAGTATGTGAAATTGCAGTATTATATGATTATTTTCATATTTGATCAGTTGGTCACTGCTGCCTTATTTCATGTTTTTGGGGCTTGCTGTAGTTCTGAAAGCAGCTGATCACCTTAAGTAGCAATGCCAAAAAACCCAAAACATAATTAAATTCCTACATAATTAAATAAATTCCTACATCCTTATATAAATTTTCTTCAAAGCATATCCTGTAACTTGAGACACATTCTTTTCTTTAGAGTGTGTGTGTGTGTGTGTGTGTGTGTGTAAGCACATTTACATAAATATATACACATATACAAACATATGCATATGTATATGAAAGCATATATGTAAGCATATATATTTTGTGCTTATATACATAAAGGCATATATGAACTGTGCTTGTGTGTGCACTGTCTGTGCTTTTATGTACACACATACACACAAGTGCGTGAACACATAAACATACAAAAAACCAGAAAGACTCTAAGACTGTAAGAAAGATTGTAAAGACTAATGGTTGAAAAAAGGAATCATGAGATGGACAATTCACAACTTTATAACAGAATGAAGAATTTTCCACTCATTTTGGGTTGCTCAAAGATAAAAATCTCTTAGATGATTTTGGAACTAATAGGTATTTGTCATATTTTGCACAACAGACAGGATTTTTAGGTACTGCCGTTATGTAAGGAATAACAAAACATAGAGCTGGGAACATCATCTAGTCTTATCCCTATTTTCTGTCGCAGAAGGATTATGGAAAGCAGAGACGATGTTTTTAAAGATTCTATGTGTTGGAGAAGTGAGAAAGTTGACTATTTTGTATAAAAAAGGTATCCAGTTATTTACCTTAGAAATTTTCATCTAGGAGTTTCACCTTCAGATTTGGAATGTCTGTAATCCTCTGTACTTCCTATTATCTCTTAAATTCCTTCTTCAGGATTCATTTCTGGTCAGCACTTAAATACCCTTTTATTGACTTGATCTGTTGCTTACTGTTTTTTAATCTTGCTTGGGTAAAGCCCTTTAGAGTCTAAATTTGTTTTTAACCTGGAGACAGATTGCAGTGATTGAAAGCTCTGGAGCCTCTATCTGTTCATTATGAACACGAATGTTCAGTTCGTTATAGTTTTGTGCACGGAGCAATCTGTGCACTGCATAGTCTATCTTGCACAAAACTCTTTGATGTAACAGTCTTAGATTGCTTTTATTTGAACGAATATGAGTGATTTTGCTTGAAATAGAGTAGGAAGAACAACACAATAATTTAGGCACAGAATAGCCTCTGACAGTACCATTCAGGGGCATAACAGTTTGCAGAGCACCTCTGTGTAGTGTTTTACTTGAACAAAATGTTATTTTGTCATCTTTATGCAAATTAGTTTTGAAAACTGGGTCCGTGCTACATTTGTGGAACGTTGTGAACTGAGAGCTTGAGACAATGGTAAGCGTTTTGTGCATTTGTGTTATATAAGCACCAGTTTTGTCATATGTCCTAATAAGCAAGGAAGACACAGTCATTTTAATAAGCCAGAGGGCATGCCCATGTAACATGGATAAAGAGTGTGAAATATCTAATTATTTCTTGCAGAGGTAGCCTTTTAAAAACAGTGGAAAAACACTCCGGAAGAGCTTCGATATTACATAAGAAAAAAAGATTGTAGATATGTGGAGGTGGAACTAGTTATGCAGTTTTTTTGTTTGTTTTAATGTTTGCAGATTCACTCATTTATTAAAAAATTTTTTTTTTTTTTTTTTTTTGTTTTTTGATCTTAGGGCATCCAAGATGGATCTCAAGTGTGCTTTGGAAGAATGTTCGATGGCACTGAATTTATTTCTAAACAACAAATTCTCTGAAGCCCTGGAGTTGCTTCGTCCGTGGTAAGGCCATGTTATTTGCTGGAATTACTGTAAATAAATAGCATAAAGATCTGGTAGTTAAAAATCAATTCAAGGCTTCTGAAAACTGAAGCTTTTATTTATGCCCTTTCTGAAGTATATCTATACGTTATTGGATTTAAAGAGCAGAGTTCTTTTTCCTAACACTGTCACAAAAAGCGTTAAGAAAAGGTTAATGAAGTACTTGATTATTACTTTGTTCCAGTTGTAGTCATATCATTCAAGCTGCCTTTTCCAGTTTAGAGAGGAAAAGCAAGAAGAACAAGACATTATTCAATGCATATTTGATTATGAAATTGGTACGGCCAAACTCTTTTTCACTAGGCAAGAAATAGTAGAAGAAAATTATCAAGTATTTTTAATTTTTTTTCTTTGTTAAACGTGAGTGACAGATGGCAGATTCTGCCTTCTCCTCTCTTGCCTTTGCTTCAAGAAGCAAGAAAGAGTAATAAAGTCTAAGTAAACATATGTAATTCTGAAAGGATCAGTTCTGCTAATGCGCTTTCACATCGTCACAACAATTGATAGACCTGAAAATACACAACAAAAATGGTTTGTTTGCCTGCACTGTCAGGTATTCTGGTTTCCAAATGCAGTCACGGTTACCATTTCACTGCAGCAATGGGTGCAGTCATGTCCTTTTTCTTTTCTTTCTTTTTTTTTTTTTTTTTTTCTTTTTTTTTTTTTTTTTTTTTTTTTTTTTTTTTATCTTTTATCTTTTTTTTTTTTTTTCTGATTGACGGTAACAGAAGTGTCTTCTTACCTCTTGTTTAAACTGAAAACACCAAGAAGAATGTTTAGTTTAGAGTTAAATGTACTAAATTAAGTAGATAATACCTGTGCAATATGAGTGGGGATATAATTAAGGGCAATTGTGCGTGTAACCCAGTTTGAATGTTTTTTGGCATTCGCTGCAACAGCAAGTTACCGAGGTAGATATATAATATCCAGTGGAAGGTGATACTTTCTAGGTTACTTTCGAGTGCATGCTTTTCTTGCATTATTCTTCTGTCTTTTTACAAACAAAAGCAGATATCTCTGAACTTAATTATCTCCTAGTTTTAGTTTTGGCTAAAAAGCAGAAGACTTATCTGTTTGTCTTAGGTCTAAAGATAGTATGTACCATGCCCTTGGGTACAGCACTATTTTAGTTATGCAAGCTGCTATGACCTTCGAACAGCAGGATATACAAATGGGAATTTCTACAATGAAGGAAGCTTTACAAACCTGCCAAAGGTAAGTCTGAGCACTTTGCATTCAAAAGGTGCGTGTTCCATTATATAAGGTTCATTATTCCATTTGGAAGATAACCTAGCTGTCTGTACAAAATCAGGCTATTGTCAATGTGGTAGTGATTTAAACTTGGAATGGTGAAGTACATCACATTATGTAATTGTTATTTTGTTTATTAATATTGCAGAAACAAAAGACTCCCCAGGTTTTTGTATTTAGATCCTCTAATGATAGTTAAATAGTTACTTGGCCGTGTAAGCCATAGGTAAAAATTGCTTGAGCTATTTAAACATGCAACTTTGTTTTCCATGTAAATGAACAGTTTAAAAGTCCTATTTTTAAACTTTCTCCATTACGAAAAAAAGTATAATAAATTGTTTTCAGATACAGAGCAGATAGCCTAGTAGGAACAGGTTTGCACTGAGGTTACCTTTAAAACTGAATCCAACTCTTTGTTGTCAATGTTTATTCTATGGCTAAAGAGCTGTCATTTCCATCAAGAATGGAAAAGGGAAAAAAAAAAAAAAACAGTGCCCTGCTGTGTTTGCTGAACTTTAACAGAGACTGTCATTCTGAAAGGCCTAAAGGGAAAAGCACTACTATAAGGGAACAGACAGGTGTGGATAGAAGTATTTACTAATGAAAACGCTTGACATGTGTTTTTATTCTTACTTTTGCACTTAAACAGACTTACCGAACATGTTAAGCATTTGGTTTCCAAGGATCACTCAGGTTAGCATGTGCAAACAAGTGCCTGTTTTCTCAGGTGTGCCATCAGCTCAGAGCTCCATCTGAGCTACGTTGTGCCTGAGAAAGAGGCACGTCCTGCCTCTGTGGAAAATAATTGAAGGTTGTTTCGGTAGGACTTTCATCTTCACAGGCTGCAGACTTTCATGCCCAAGTGCTGTGTTCTGCTCGTGTAGAGACCATTAAGATGAAGGCAATCAAATGCTCCGAAGTTTAGAAATGTCAGAACTACATTGCCCTGATGGGTCCCTGATTTGTGCATGTGCTGAAATAAAGCACCAGTTTGAAAGATGGGTAATTAAGATCTATTGAAAGAATAATGTGCAACTACTTTGGGGAGTTTGAAATTCCACATTTGGCTTAAAATGCCATTAGTGCTGAAGTATTTACATTTTTTTTTATGTTGAAACAAGTTCCTTTGTCCTTTTTTTGTAATTCTGAATGTGACACAATGAAATACAAAATTATAAATGCAATTCATAAAAGCTTAAGTGCAGGTAAAGTGACTTTCCATCCCAGAGGTCTCTGGTGGTAAAAGACATTAAGTTGCCTTCACTGTGACTCTTTTTAAAAACTGAGGGGTCATTTATGAAACGTGTTTCACTGCATTGTGTCGACTAACTCCTTAACAGTGTTCCTGCATTTATGCTTAAGACAAGAACTTGGTTGTGGAAAGGGCCATGTATGTTGCTATGTACATAGACTAAATTAAATCTGTGCTTGGAAGTTGAATTAGGATAGGATATGTTTCTGAGCCTGGATTTTATACCTGTGATGACAAATGGATCACTCAAAGAAATGTAGTTTTTAGTAAACCACCACTTGATTGAGGGTATTTACAAGTTGGGTTGCAAATGGTGAAGAATTAGAGCATGTTCAACTCGGTTTAAGTTTTTGCTGAAATTCTGCTTATCCTGTGTGGGTTTTTTTCTTCCTTATTTGACAACTGATGTAGGTTCAGGAAAAGAAGCACCGTGGTGGAATCCTTGTCCAATCTAGTTTCTAAACAGCCAGTGGATCAATTAAGTGAAGGTAAGTGGATTGAAATACCATTTAAAAAAAAAAAAAGTCCTCAAGAACACCAATCCAACATCTGCTAGTATATTATGCTGTTCATTTCTTCTAGTTGTCTTGCAACAAAATAGAGATCCTTCTTCTCTCAAAATATTATGACTTCCTCTGAAGTCAGTGTTAGTGCAGAGGAATCACCTTTGTGTTGCTTATAATGATTTTTTTTTTAATTGAAGGTTTAGGCAAGTTTCTTGGGCTCTTGGCATGTATAAATTATGCTCGGAATGCCTTTGGTAACAAACTGAAGAGTGAGGTCTTTTTTTCTCTCTGATTCAGGCAGAATTAAGCATTTTTTTCTAGCCTGACACACAAAAAAACTTTAATACAAGCATGTCAAACTCTGTGCCTGTACTGTGCAGAAGTGAATGTGGCAGCATGTGTGCAGTGTAAATTTGCAAGGCACATGTTTAATGTACAGAGTTGCATGAGAACAGAAAGTGTGTCCCGGACTTTGACATGCTCACGGGAAATGGCATCTCATTACTGTTCTGAAAACAAGAAGGGAGTGTCTGAAGATCTAATTGTTGTGTGTTGGTACTTAAGCATAACATTAATGAAGTTTACAGGAGAACATGTACAAGAAAAGTAGTTTTTAAAAGCTGACTGACATCAGCTCGGGCAAGATCAAGGTTTTTGTCTGAGGAAAAAGTCAAATGAGAGACTATTTTTAACTGACCTCTCAATTACTTCCATTGGTATTTGTTCGTTACAGCTTTATTCAGAAGCAATCAAAACAGGAACTGAAGAATCCTACCTTTTTCTTGGCGGTATTTTATTTGTTCACATAGAAGATACTATTGACCAATAGACTTTGCTGCTATTACATTTCTTTTCTCTCTTGTGTAGAGGAAATGCATGCTGAAATCTGTTATGCTGAATGCTTACTGCAGAAAGCAGCTCTCACCTTTGTACAGGTAAAATGAATTTTCATTTATATCTCTGTGTAACAGTTTATAGGAAGGATGTTAATATTTGTACAAGACTCTCATTCAGACAGTAGTTTTGATACTTTTTTTAAAAAAAAGCTTGCTCTGTAGTGATTAAGGTTATCTCATGTTATGCCACACCAAAAAATAATTTTTTTCTTTTTGTTTTGCTTAACTATAGATCCAGGGATGGTCTCATATGTACAGTCTGTGTATTACGTGTGTCACATCTGAAACTGCCCAGCATGGGGCAATTTAAAAAGATGTTAAATCACTGAGAAATGTCATATCTGAAAGTACCAATTCATTCAAGGATGAAAAGGATGGAATATTTTCCAATGAACAAAATTGCAATTGATGCCCATTTCTCTTTAATGTCACTGTCCATGAACTTCTGAAATTGTGTCAACAAGAGTATAGTTACTTATGGCTATAAACCAATCACGCCTTAGATTTTTCTCTGAAATAATCACTCAGTTCACAGAAGCGTCTGCTGTTTCATACTCTGTATGTTTCTTATTTAGCATGTGATTCAGTGACACTAGAATTTGAGAGTTTTCTAATTCAGTCTTAAAAGAAAAATTGTTATTCTCCTTATTTTGTTTATACTTGTGCGTGCTTTGAGTGCTTAAAGAATTTACCTTAGGAAGTCCCTTGGAGATAACCATTATGAGGAAGAAGTGAGGTGAAGAGATGTTAAGGTCAGAAATACCCAGAAGGTTAATTTGGCAAAGCTTTATAATCTGCTTAATACGATACTTCTTGAAGAAGTGTCAGGAAACATTAGTAATGAGATGCCAGTCCTTCCTAAAACTGACTTTATCTCCTTTGTTAATCAGATAGAAACAACCCCCACTGTTTTTCGTTTGTGTGTTTTACCATTAAAGGACTTTCTAGAGACATATCAAACTAACTCAATTTTTATGTGAAATAGAATACCCCTGGAGAACGTTTTTCTCGCAGCAGCTGTCTGTAATTTTGGAGATCCACTGGTGTTGTTTCAGAGGTCCTTGGTCTGATTGCTGATTGTTATCATACCCCCTTTTTTCATCTTTGATTAATCTTTATATGTCTGAGGATGATAATGGGGGCAATGAAAATCTAATGTTCAGAAAGGTGAAACTGTTCAGAAGATTGCACCTGTGCTATACGTTTTACAGGAGTTATTCAGTCCTGCAGGCAAAACAGCTGAAGCTTTCAAAATGATGATCCTTTCGTGGAAACCAGGTTTTCGTTTAGTTGACGATTGTAATGCTCTTGTCTTGCTCTTTCATCTTCTCTGTGTTATGTGCTGTCACTGAGTACGTAAATTGTGTACAGTTCTGAGATGCCAGCACAGATCCACTTCTGTTAGCACTTTATTTATTTAATTATTTTGTGAGAATTATCTGTTGAATAATATGTTGTTCAACATGCTTTTCAGGAACACATTTGTGGTGGCTGATGCATTTTGGCTTGTTTTTTTCTAGAGGTTAATAATCATATGTATGGTGGGATGTGTATATGTGTTGGGTTGTGGAGCTGCTATTGATGAACAATGGAAATTTTTCTGCTTAAGGGATAATTCGGGTTGCTTTCTGTCAAGTTCTGGGATCACCTGTATGTTTCAGAATCGTTTTTTCAAAACTTTCCTTAAACTTTCTTACAGCACCACCTGGTGGAGAGCTTTCCTGTTTTATGTACAAGCATTAGAAAACAAATTGAAAGTAACTTTTTTACTTTACCCACTTCTTTTTAAGTTTTAAATCTTGTCATGTGGCAGAAAAATGTGTCTTCGAGAACTCAATACATTCGGTGGAATTACCTGTAAGGTTAAAGCTAATAACTGACGAATTACCTTTAAAAAATTCCAATGACTGTTTACTTATAAAATATTTTAGAAAGTAGCTGAAAGATTTTTTTAAGTTAATTTTGCACGATAAACATTTTTTCTTCCAGGATGAAAATATGATCAACTTTATCAAGGGTGGCCTCAAAATTAGGACAAGTTACCAAATATACAAGTAAGCCATTAGAAAGCACTGAGATTTAATGTTGGTATAAACAGGTACATTAATGTCTACAAAAAAGTCATAACACATGTAGTGTTTCTACTTCATATCATTTCTAAGTTGTGTTTTCCCCTCCCTCTTCTTTTCTGCATCAAAAGAGAATGTCATCAGGTGCTACAGATGACTCAGGGGAACAAAAGCAAAAATGAAACTTATCACCAATTTGAAGGAGGAGTAAAACTTGGAATAGGAGCATTCAATTTGGTATGACTTTGTTTTTCACACTTCAGAAAGGCTATTGGGGTTATTTAGAGCTTATACAGTTCTATATAAGATTGCTTTCTTGCAAATAGCCTCTTTTAAAAAGGAAATGGTTGCAAAACAGAGGTAGGTTTTGTAGACTTCATATGAAAATATGACTGGCTTTTTGCGTGCATGCACACTAGGATTAAAAAAAAATCAAAGTTTATTTAATTTTTAATTGACCAATTAATATTTCTTAAATGGGAAACATCTGCATTGACTATATCTTTTGCTTCAGTGGCTTGCAGTTGATAGCCGCTGTGAATTAGTGCAAAAATGCAGAAAAATTGGTGATTTACTGAGTTTGTACAAAAGACAAGCAGATGCATCCACTAGCATTTTTCTTTACGATTTAGTGTCACTGGGATTCGACCTCTTGTGCCAACAGTAAGAGTTACTTTCTTCTGTTATCTTAACTTTTAGTATCGTTCAAAACGGGAACAGGCCAGTTCTGCCTCTGGCCAGTCTGTTTGCACCTGTCAGTCTTAAAATCCATCAGTGGTGGATGGTTGTGTTCACAGTGGTCTGACCTTTTCTGTTCATTGTGAAGTCTCTTCAGCAGAAAACAAAGGAAGAAATCTGTTCTGGGGAAAATATACTAAAGGGAACGTAGCTTTAAAACCTATCTTTCAAACAGACCTCCTTGTAATGTGCTTATTGGAAAGATAGTTGTGGTCTTTGTAAACTCTTATCGGTTGTGTAAGCCATGGAGAAGGCAGCTACAAGGTGAATAGAAGGTGCATGTGATAACGGGCTGGAGAATGATGAACATGACTAAAACTTCTGTACAGTATGCTGTATAGAAGTACACATGCTGTATATGTATATCCATTGCTTCCAAAGCAGAAACAAAACGTTTATCTGAGATAGCGTTGAGTCATCTGTTTGGGATTAGCTGGAGCAAGATGACAGCTGTAGTTTGTAAGTATTACTCTCAGTCAATAATACTTCCTTCTCCTCCCAAACAAACCGTAATTTTCAAACAGTTCTGATCAGCTGAAGACAAAAATAATCTGAAGCACAGTTGGACTTCCTGTCTCAGTGTTTCCAATGCTGGATAATCAAGAGTAAATTATAAATTAATTGCCTTCTGTTAATCACGCATGTCTAGTTTCAAACATTTTTAAACTGTGTTTTTGCCCTTTCACTAACGTGTAATGGCGTTTAATATATTAACTGGAATTTTTGGTTGAGGTTTACAGCAGTTTCGGAATCTCTTGAATGTTGGGGTATGGTTTAGATATGTGTGTATATATATATATCTTATATGTCTTTGAAATGTATTGCAGATGCTGTCACTTTTACCAGGAAGAATCCTTCGACTTTTGGAATTTATTGGATTTTCTGGCAATAGGGTATTGAATCTGATACTTGTTTTTCAAATTTGTGCTTTCTCTGATAAAGAGTAGAAGATTTAATATTATAGATTTCACACTAAAATATAATGATTTTAACATTTTTAGTGCTAAAAAGGCAACCGGTGGGCTAGACTGTGTGGGCATAAAAGTACACATGTTGAAATTCCAATCTTGAACAAGATTTTTTAGTCTATATTATCAATAATGTATTCCCTATACAAGCAACTGCAGGGAAGTTGTGCTTTTATGCTTCTTTCACTTTCCCCCTTCCACTTTTCACTATCTCCAATCCTTATGGGATAAGGAATTTGAAGGAATTTTTGAATGTAGTGTGTAACTTGGGAATCCTACTGTATCTTGTTCTTGGGAAGTCTTGTCCTGAGGAAACTATTAGTATCATAACCTAGCCTTTTAGCTTTGTAAGTACTTTCTGTTCCTCTAAAGCTGCCTTTGCCACCTTTAAGAAAGGAAAATAAAATACTGAACGTGAAAACTAAGGTTATTCATGAGCCAGATAGGAGTCTCTGGAGTTTGTGAAATGAGATTCCCGTAGAGATCTGGTTATTTTTCATTTTGTACATTACCTGGGCTCTCCTGTAACTCAGCAATAAAACTCCTAATAGGCTAATGTTTCTTCCCAAACAAAGCTGTTTAAATCTGGTAAGTTTCTGAAGAGCCACTGTTCTTAAGCAGGAAAGTTCTGACCTTGTCTCAATAATGCCAAGAACCAACAAGCTGTTTTGTAATGGGTGTAAATTGGAAGGCTTGTGAATACAAGCTGAGCACGTCTCTGATTTTAATTCCTTTTTTTCAGCTCACACGAATCCTGCTGAGCTTCTAGAATTTGATCTATTAGTACAACTAATGTTTTAATCAGAGCATAAATTTGATCAGAAAATACTGATAAAAAGCTGAGGATAGTTAAGACAGATTTATGCATGAGTTTCTGTGAAGAGAAACTTTTGCCTAGAAGCAGCACTGAAATAGCTGAAAGAGATTCCTATTGAAAATAAATAGTACTGACAGGTTGGTAGCCAGAAGATGGTTGGAGTGGGGAGGTAGGTCCATGCATATGTAATTTTATTCAGTATTGACATAACATACTTAATGCTATCAGCTGGGCCAGAACTGTTTTGATGACTAATTCCGCTTTTATTTGTGATTATTTCTTAGGAGTTGGGCCTCCATCAGCTACGAGAAGGTGCATCTGGCAACAGCTTGAGGGCTATTTTATGTACTTTCACCTTATTGGTTTATCATACTTATGTCTCCTTAATCCTTGGTAAGACCTGGATTGCAGCTGCTTAGTTGTGTTATAAATTATGACAGATCTTGTGAATTTGAAATGAATTTAGAAACTGTGGTTGATAGGCTTGTCTGCTATTGACTGCTGTATGCTAATGATCTAAGGCTTATAGTCAAAGGAAGGTTTGCAGAAACTCTCAGGTAGGTATGTTTGAAGGGCAGATGTAACATGTAACAGCAAAATACCAAAACAACTTTTTTTTTTTTTTTTTTTTTTTAAGTTCAGACAAGTCTTTATCACAAATTAATGTTGAGTATAGCAAAAAATATCTCTAGAAACATGTGTGCTCCCAAATAATTTATTTATTTCTTCCAGGACAAGAATTTGTGTTTATAGAAATTTAGTATGATTAAATAATGATTACACTTTGTATAAAAGCAGTCATCCATTAATCACTTGATTAATCAGCTAATATGATTTAGAACATTTTTTTTTTCTTTTTTTTCCTAGTAAACTGAGATTTTTTTTTTTGTGGTTTCTTAGGTACAGGAGAAGCCAACCTTCATGAAGCAGATAGTCTCCTTGAACCCTACCTCCAGAAGTTTCCAAATGTGTGTACTCTCAATATGTTTGATAACATTAATATATTTCCCTAAGCTTAAAATAGTAACGGTATTTTTTTCTCCTTTCCTTTCAAGGGTTCGATTATATTATTTTATGCTGCTAGAATAGATATACTGAAAGGAAATTTTGAAAAGGTAATTCAATTTATTCATCCTGCTGTTTTAATCTTTTCAATGTTCAGCCTGGGGAGAAAACTTTATCTGCCTACTTCATCCAAGTAGCTTATATTAATTATACCAATAATTATTATCATCTCTTACTTCAGGTTGGGTGCCATTATTGACTCTGTAAGAGAGACTGAGGGGGAAGATGGCATCACCCTACTAGTTAGCAGCTCTCCAGTGATACACTTTGGGTGCTGGGGAGGAGTTTTACTTAGATATGGCTTTCATGTTGCTCTGTAATTGTGTCTTTTTGTTTAATCCTAGGCACAGGTAACATTCCAAGAATGCATAGCATCCCAACAAGAGTGGAAGCAGATTCACCATCTCTGTTACTGGGAGCTGATGTGGTGCTACACATTCCAGCAGAACTGGCTTCAGGCATATCGGTATGCAGACCTGCTCAGCAAAGAGAGCAGGTGGTCTAAGGTAAATGGGGAGGACGATGTGATTTTGATATACTTAGTAACCTCTTCATAGTTAAACTTGCTTACTTAGTTTCCGTTGTAAATGAAGATTTGTCTGTCTTCTCAAACTTAAAGCATGTAGCAGAATGGAGGATTTAATGGTGTTCAGGAAGTTGAACCAGAACCACTATTCTTTCTACGAAAAAACTGAGGTGCCCATCAACGACTAATAAAAGAAATGGAGAAGCAAACTATTCACTTAAGTCTGTAACAAAGTTACATTATTCTTTAATAAAACTTGGCTAAAGAAACTCCAGTTCCTAGTTATTCATAAACAGGCAGTGTCAGAACTAGTCAGCAGATGTTTTGAAACATAAACAGAAGGGCTGCTGCATGGGGAAGAATATATATATTCTCATGAGGAAAGTAAGATGGTTTTCTTGTAAAAATGCATTTCAAAATAAGAACTAAGCATAATATGCAGTAATTTTTTGTTACATACTTTTGGACTTTCTCTCTAGATAACTGTCTTAAACTAGTGGAGAAGGATAAATTCTAGATAAAAGAGGAAGAGAATAATACTACACAGTATGAAGTTCATATGTCTTTAATAGAGTTACGGATATTTATTTTTATCCGCAAAGCCCACTTAGGGCACTTTCTATCCATACTCAGGTATTTTTGCTGTGTTAAGAAACAAACCTGAAAAAGAAGACCAAAACAGATGATAATATTCATGGACTTCTGAGTGGTTATCTCTGCAACTTAATATCACCTCTCTGGCATAACAGTTTGCATAATAAATTATTCTGTTCTTTGTATGAAAAACACGACTAAATTACAATATTAATAAATATGTTGAAAATAAGACTGTATTTATAGTATAAAGTATATGACAAAGGAAGTGTGTGGCAGAACTTCAGTGGATCTACCTGCCTGAGGATAACTGGAAACACTTTACTGCAACAGTGGATGAGTGCTTTGGATCATTAGTGTTTTAATTGAACACATTTAGATGTAGTAATGTTTTGTTTTGTTTGTTTGTTTCTTTTTGAAACAGGCAATATATGTATTCCAGAAAGCAGCAATTTTGTGTATGCTTCCAGAGGATGAAGTGAAAAAGACTGGTGAGGACATTGTATCTTTGTTCAGGTAAGCTTTTATACAGTAGCTAGATGTTTACTATTTCTCCAATGTAAATGTTTTTTGATTTGTATATCTTTCTTGAGTCACTTTCTGCCTACTTTTAACTGACAACTTTTCTGTTTTCCTCTTCAAGCATTCTCATTCAAAAAAGCATACTGCTTTTATTAGCAAACATTCATTTTGTTACTGCAGACTCTGAGTGATTTAAAAGCAACTAATGATGATTTTTTTCTGAGGAGAACAGTATCTTACTACAAGAAGAAAGGTTAAAGCAAACTCCTGTTTTCCTTTCCTATCCTTGCAGACAAGTGGATGGTCTGAAACAGAGAATTGCAGGAAAATCTATCCCAACTGAGAAGTTTGCAGTAAGAAAAGCTCGACGTTATGCAAGTTCTCAACCTGTGAAGCTGATATTGCCTGCTTTGGTATTTATACTTGTTTTCTTGTGGTATTTTTGAAAGAAAAAATAACTATAGTTTATTGCGGAAGAAGAGAAAAAATATTAGGTAGCATCTATCCACCTTCTTCAAACAGTTACTGGCATTTGTGAGAAGAGAAAGCTTTATTTATTTATTTATGACACATTTTAGGAACTGCAGCCTACTAGCCGACTAACAGCCCAAAATGTGACAGACAGGTTTTCCTCATGGACGTTGAAATATGTAGAGAACAAATTGCTCTTGCCACCTGGGGCTGAAAGGCATCTTTAGCTTTGCAGTGATCACAGTCATGTTTATGTTCCTTGAGAGTATTTCAGTCGTTGTACCCCGGACATGAGCAAATTAAGGAGAACTCATTTTTTTGGTATCATCATATTTTCAGGTGAAACTGAAGGGTTTGCGAGTAACATATGCAGTATTTAATGATATATTACAAATCTATATAATATGTATTACAAATATTACTCTAATTTCTCTTGCCTCAGAATGCACTAGCAATGCACCTTCTGTTTATATTGCACTTCTCTCTCCTTCCTCTGTTACATAAAAGACTGTAGATTATAGCATGGATGTGCATGCACGCACCTACACACAGCATTTAGTGTAATCTCATATGCAGTATAAAGAAGGTAACTACTTCCAGCTACCTTGTTTTAGTTTGCATGGCAGAGGTCTCAGAATCAAAAACATCAATTTTTTGTTGTGTTATCTGAATGTCAGTACGGACATGGTTAAGTTTCTTCAGTGTTATTTTTTGTTGTGTGTTTGTGTGTGTGTGTGAAACTATATGATAGAATCTATTAAGAAGAGTATCCTGAAGGTGTGAAATACTCAAAACTTAAAACCCCAAGTTAATTTGCCTGAACACTTGCAATGTTATTTTGCCTGTCCTATGCATTGGTATTGTGAAACAACTACATGTTATTAAAAACGCAACCTGTCAGTGACATGCAAGTTTTATAAAGACAAATGTGAATGTCCTGTATACATTGTGGAAGGTTATTTTAAACAAATGCTTTTATTTTTGAGTTTTTTAAGTGCTTGATTTTGAAACTTTATAATATTCTGTAATATAAAAATTTGTATGCAGTATTTTATGTACTCAGTGTTCTGTAACAGCCTTCCAAGTTGCTCTTTAGGTAAATATTTGTGGAATTTCATGGGTTTGTGTTGTTTGTTTTTGTCAGGAAATGATGTATGTCTGGAATGGCTTTGCAATTGTGGGCAAAAGAGCAGACCTCACTGAAAATTTGTTGGTAACAATTGAAAAAGAAGAAACTGCTCTACAAAATGAAACTAGTAAGTGGTCAATTAAGATAGAAATAAGCAATTAGTTAGAAATGCTGATGGGACACTTTCTTCTTTTTCTTTTTCTCCGCTTTAACGTTCTAGGTGGTTAATTTTGAGTCACCTAAACCAATGTGCTATTCAGTCTAACTATGGAAATTTTAGAGCCATGTGAAATTTAATGATTCTTTTTAAACATGTCCTTGATTATATCATAGCATAGATATTTAAGATAATTTTTTGGAGTCCAAGTTAATAGAGCTTAAGATCAGAAAATCAGAAAGAAGAAAGAACAAAACTGGTATACTGTAGAAAAAGATACCTTTTTTCATTATTCTTTAAGTTTTTTCAGGTAGTCTCTGCTGTCCATCAATTAAACTGCTGAGTAATCTTCCTTTTCCAATTCTTCTTCTAAAATGAATAAATATTACCTTTTTATATAAAATTTTCTCATCTATGCCCAATTTTTAATCACACTTTTAACAACTTACCAAATAATTAGTTTCCCCCATTTTTCAAGTATCTCACTATCTAGTATGTCTGTTACTGCACATAGATTTGGAAATACGAAACAGGGTATTTGGTTATCCTATGTACAGCTTGATAATAACTGTATTGTGTATCAAAATTGCCTCAGCTTAGCAGGATCTTAAATTTATTGCTACTGAAAAAAAAACAAGATTGAAAAAAAAATGTGGTGAAATATAACTTTGCCTAAAATATAGACCTCTAGTTGTGGGAAGTTGTGGGAAAGCGAAGTTCCAACTCCACAAACTGCCATATGATAACTTTAACTTCTGAGGTCAGTGCTGCAGAAAAAAGAAGGGAGTCTGGTGTCCATTTGAAGCAGCTGATGGAAGCAATGGAGTATCCTCATTAGTAAGTAAAACAAGAGATAAGCCCACAGCAAAAGTAGGAACTAAATGATAACAGCAACAGGAAAAATTGTAACATTTTTAATGACACAGTAGTTCAAAAAATAGGAGAGAGAAAGGCACCCTAATAATTGTCTTAATCACAAAATTATGTAGAGCATACTGCTGTTGTCTCATACCTAAATATTTAGTTTTCAAACAAAGTAAATCTGACAATTGGATCTGAATAAATTAACATTTTTCCCCCCCCATGGAATTTAGCTCCTTGTCCTCACACCATTGTATTCATTTTACAGTCAAATTGAAGCATATTGTAGTCTTAATCACTTGATTTTATCATCTCTTCAGAGGGTCTTGTGGAAATGCAGTGATACGTTTCTGGCCTTTTCTACACTCTTTATCTCAATACATAAACACTGGAAGAACTTCAGGTATTGTCTCAGTATAGACAGACACAGAATGGATTTCCTTTTGTAATGTGAACTGTATTAAACAATACTATTACAACAGTGCCTGGATTTTTTTTTTTAACCACTTTGCATAACTTCCTAATTTGGGATCGTACTCCCAATCTTTGAAGGTAACATGGCAAATGTAGAACGGTAGTCTACTTGTAAGAATTTAGGTTAGCATTATCAACTTCACTTATGTTCTTAATATTGTGTGCCATACATTGAATTTTTTTAAATAGGTTAAACTATTTTTCAATGGATTAAAAATGGACAATGTATTTTGGATGTAAAGTCATTTTGTCAAAGTTTTTTCTTTTTAAAATCTCACGTCTTTAGAACAGTTCACATCTCATTGGTTTTATATAAATTTCATGTTTAAAACTGTGTCTTTGCCTTGAAGTGTTTGCTCTGTATTTTGAGCCAAATTTATATCCTGTAGTGTGTTCCTGTGTGTGCATGTCTTGAGAAAGCTTTTTATCACATTTGCTAAGCTTTTTTTCTTGCCAAAAATTGGGTCTATGGAACTTAATGGAAAACCCAGACAAACTTAAGAGATTTTATATATCAGGTAGTGTTAAATTATGTGTAGTAATCTGTAAAAATACATTTGGTTGTAAGCCTTTAAATAAATTGATCCGATGGATACAAAGTTATAGAAGCACATACAGAATATGCACAGCAGTGTTAAATCCAAATGTTGAAGTATTTGAGACATATGCAAATAAAGTACTGTTGTCATTACTTCTGTGCAGAGGTTCTGGCAGAAGATCTTGTGAATCCACTGCTTTGTTATGCAGAGGCTGGTGTCATCAGTTAGAGCAGGCTGAAATTAGTTCTAATCTGCCCTTGGAAATCTGTTGTTCACAGAAGCTAGAGCTGAATAATTTTCTGTCTTCCAAACAGTACTCCTTTTAAACAGCACATATTTCTCACAAAAATATGGAGTTTAGAAAGAGGATATTTTT